TAGCCCACTCCCAATGCGCAAACATGTGTATATATATGTACGTATTTTAAATAAAGAGAGGTACAGAATGAAAACAAAACATATTTATTTAATATACCCTGTACCCGTATGGTAAAATGGGTATATGATTATAAATTATATATATTCTGAATCAGCATGACGAGAGAAATTGATCTAGACATGTCCGTCTGTCTGGATGAGCGCAAGGATTTCAGAAACTATAAAAGCTGGAAAAATCTGCAATTTTTATTTGAATTGCTTAAAACTTGGTTTGTGTAATCCATAAAAGAATTCACAAAACACTGCATACTTGATTTTTCACCATTTTTCCTGGGGCATGAAAAAGGGGGTTTTCCCGTGAAAAATTGAAACAATCAACACCCCACAGCCCAAACGGTAAGAGCTAGGATGCTGAAATTTGAACTCAAGTATCCCATCATAGTGCAGGTGAGCACTAAGAGAGGATTTTGGTAAATTCGAGCTCCAAGTGGGGGAAATGAGCTCCAAAGTTTGTTTGAAAAATCCGAATGCAAAAAAAACTGCATATGTACTCGGTTTTTCAAAATTTCTGTTGAAGGTTGAATTATTGGGGTTTTAATAATTATTCACTTTTTCAAATGAAAAGTTTGTGTTAAAAATTTTTTCCTTATTATAGCCTGTACCCAAAGGGTGAAAGGCTATACTAGTTTTGTGCGCATGTATGTAACACACAGAAGGAGGCGTGGCAGACCCCACAAAGTATATATATTCTTGATCAGGATGAGAAGACGAGTCGATATAGCCATGTCCGTCTGTCTGTCTGTCTGTATGAGCGCAAGGATCTCAGTAAGTACAAGAGCTAGGATAACCAAAATTGGTATCAAGGTTCCTATAAGCCCTAGGCAGAACGAGTTTGTTTATTTTTTCTGATACACCCCCCCACTCCCCCGCAATTCGTATTTTTTCTTATAACTTCCGTAATTTTCGGAATTTTAAAATCAATTTTGGTAGGTACATCCAGTTAGTACTAATGTGTCCGTGTGCCAAATCATGATAGGTCTATTCTGAAGAAAGTTATAGCCATAAGTAAAATCGCTGCTCATGCGCTGCCTGCAGCTCTGTCGGCAGCGCTGCCCGCAGCTGTTGTTGTTGTTGCTGCTTTGGTTCAACTTTGTGCTGCATACATACACGCATATAAACACGCATATAAACACGCATAGGTACGTGATGTAAATGTATGCTGTTTAAACTGAACATAAACATGTATTCTAATTTAATTTAATTAATTATTTTAATTAATTAATTCATTCATTTTTTTTAATAATTTAATTTAAAAAAAAAAATTTTTTTTTTTTTAATTTTTCCTTTTTGTGGAGATTACAGGATATTTTACTGTCGGGCTTGCTCGACTGTAGCGATCTATCTTGCTTCAAATTTGGGTAATGTAATCTACTAAATCTACTAACTAAATCTACAACTTCATATCAAACGGTTGGGGCCAACTTAGTATACATACACACACGCATATATACACACACATACAAGCAGCTGTTCGTGTAGTTGCGTGCAAACGATTGAAATAGCCAAAGCAAAATGTGAGACACTAATATGTGAATAGATGTACACATGTCAAGAAATATTAATTAATTAAAAACGATTTAACATTTTCAAAAGTAATTTTTTTTGTTTAGTACATTTGGCATTTTTATTTATTATTTAAGCGCATCGTGCATTATTTAATCAAAATTATAATTTTTAAAGCCCTTGGAAAACCTGCTACGCCCTTGACAGACTACACATACACGGTTCTCTACGTACGGTAAAAACACATTTTTTGATCATCTATGCCTTTTTGTTGCAAAGGCAAAATGCCAAAAATTTACAGTTACTGTCGCAAGGCAACGACTGAGTCAGCGATAGTAAAGCAGAAACAGAATAATGGAGCTACGCATATTCTGCTTCGCATTGCGGGCAGATGTACATATGTACGTATGTATATGATGTATTCTAATTGATCTCAATAAATTAAAAGATGTTATTATTTAGATATTTTGTTAATTGCATTCAAACTTCGATGTATCGACATCGATAGTATCGGAGAATTCAACTATCTAAAGTTTTACTCTAGCAAATTGAGATGGGCATTGTCAGTACTTTTTGATCTTAGCACTAACCATACAACATATACATGCTTCATTTCATACAACGAAAACGTCCTATCAAAATTGTGAGCGACAGCTCCCATAGCTGTTCGGATTTTTGCCGAATGGGAGCTGTCGCACTTCGGCTAACCCGACTGGGAGCTGTTGCACTTCGGCTAACCCGACTGGGAGCTGTCGCATTCGTGCTCTCTGTGAGCGAATTTCATTTCATTCGCAGAGAGGCAGTCAATAATATTTGTAAATTAATTTGATTTAAATGCCAACTGACATTTTTACCAAATATTTTAAAATTAATATGCAAGCCAATCAAACAAAAATAGGAAATAGTCGATCAACAAAATTGCTTGTGCATAAATACAAGTTGAGGTAGGTCATGACAATGTCAAGGCTACTGTCATACTGTGCATATGAACACTACATTTGCACACATATGTACATAAGTATGTATGTATGCTTTTAAAGGCATTATTAGAAACCCATACACTGTTGACAAAGTTCACTTGCATACGCATGCAATGCGACAGAAGATGGCAACAGTGTATGAAATTCTCATGCCCATGTAGCAGGCGAAGCTACTGCTCGCAAAACAGCAAAAGAACAAATACATATAAACGTATACATGTATATATGTGCACGCACACATTCAAAGAGCATAAGCGGCACAGATCGACCGTCGCTGTTGACTGCCTCTCTGGGAATGAAATGTAATTCGCTTACAGAGAGCACGAATGCGACAGCTCCCAGTCGGGTTAGCCGAAGTGCGACAGCTCCCATTCGGCAAAAACCCGAACAGCTATGGGAGCTGTCGCTCAAAATTTTGATAGGACGTTTTCGTTGTATGAAATGAAGCATCTATATGTTGTATGGTTAGTGCTAAGATCAAAAAGTACTGACAATGCCCATCTCAATTTGCTAGAGTAAAACTTTAGATAGTTGAATTCTCCGATACTATCGATGTCGATACATCGAAGTTTGAATGCAATTAACAAAATATCTAAATAATAACATCTTTTAATTTATTGATGGGACGTTTTCGTTGTATGAAATGAAGCATCTACAAGGTGGAATTCAAAAGTTCCAAGTTAAATAGCGCGGCTCCTAGTGGCGCCATGTGTTGGAAATTTTAATCCGTCAATTGTGTATTCTTCAGTGTTGTCGTATGGAATTTATATAACAGCTGATTTGTATAACAGCTGGTATATCGCGCTAAATGTGACATTACATTTGTAGTGTTGGACGGAAAATGAACATCGAACAAAGAGCCAACATTAAGTTTTGTTTTAAACTTGGTAAAACTTTTACCGAAACTCATAAAATGATGAAACAAGTTTATGGCGATGATTGTCTATCCCGTAGCCGTATTCACGAGTGGTTTAAACGTTTTCAAGAGGGACGGGAGGACTTGGAAGACGACGAACGTTCGGGCCGGCCAAAAGATGTTGTGAACGAAAAAAAACACGGAAATTGTGCGTGAATTCATTAAAAAAGAGCCGAAATCATCGCTTAAATATATGGAATCGGAATTATCAATATCCGCAGCGTCGATTTATCGTATTTTGACAGAAAATTTGGGTCTCAGAAAGGTTTTTGCTCGATTTGTTCCACACACTTTGAAACAACACGAAAAAGACCTCAGAATTCAACATTCAAGAGACATCATTAAAGAGGCCAAAAAGGACCCAAACTTTTTATGTTCGATTGTGACTGGTGACGAAACATGGTGCTTTGAATATGAGCCCGAAACCAAGCGTCAAAGTGCGAAGTGGCAGTCTTTAGAGGAACCGAGGCCGAAAAAAACTCATCAACAGAAGTCAAAAATCAAGTCAATGTTGATTTGTGTTTATGATTCCAAGGGCATTATTAATTAATTTTCTGCCCCCCCCCCCCCCCCCCCCCCCCCCCCCCAATGGGTAAAAGCTGGCTACGCCCTTGACTGGGGGTATTTCCCAGTCCAAAATTCCAAGAATTACGGGAGTTAGAGAATATCGCGATTTGCAAGGGAGAGGGGGGAGGGAGGGAAATTCCATAATAAACACTTTCTGCGTATTCACATAAAGCATCTTGGACTAAAATTTGGTGTCCCTAGGTCTTATATTCTCCGAGATATAGGCGATAATACGAATGGAAAATCGGGAAACAAAGCCCCCAGTTAGTTATTATGTGTCCGTATGCCAAGTTTCACTATGATAGACCGATTTAACAAGAAGTTATAGCCATAAATATATTTGCTGCTCAAGCGCTGCCCGCTTGATGTTGCTGTTTGGTTGACTGCTAACATGCTTACACAGACACGAATAGATGCGCATAGGCATACATACACTCACACAGACGCAATTGCTATGTAAATGTACAATTATACACCCTTTACGTGAGTTCGAATACCGAGAGACGTAAAATCGATCAAAAAATTTTTTTCGGGACACCCGACTTTAGCTTTTTTACTTGTTTTTTCACATTTGTATGCTCTGTCTCTGACGAAGAGAACTTGTGATAACAATATACCGTTATATGGTTTATACTATTTTTTCTGTTCAATCGAAAAGAGTACTTAATTTTTGATTCATCACCATCAGTCACATGCAATTGGTTTTTCAATTATCTTCGGAATTTTAACAGTTATTGAAATCAAATTTATATACTCTGTACATGAAATGTGCAAGTTTGTTTTGTTTTGATTACACGCATAATATGCAGAATGTTTTAAAGTCGGGACACCCGACTTTAGCTTCTCCACTTGTTTTTACTGTCCAAGTGATATATTTTCTTTAAAACCGGGGTGTGCTAACCTGATGACGCGCAGGTATAAATTTACTGGTGCTTAGTTGTGATCATTAAATATTAATAAGTAAATAATTTGTATGTAAGTAGTTAATTTATTTCGCATTTATTATATCACAACTTCTAGATTTGATTACATATTCTACACTCTTATGACGTATATAATTAAAGTAAAAATAATGACATCACAATATCCTAAAACAAAATTAAAACTAATTTTCTTCTTACATAGCATCGAAATGAAATCGGTGAGCTTCTTGCAATTTTTCTTGTTTGTCTTCACGCTTTTCTTTGATAAATAAAATAACAATTATGAACAAAATAACCAAGCACGTTCCGCCCAGAGCTATGACGCTCATAACAATTAACTTGCTTGGCGTGACAAAAAGTTGTGCCTTCCAGTGTTGCGGTTGCGTTAATGGTTTCGGTACCACTATTATCTGTGAATTCGGAATAAGCTGTGTCCACGACCGAAACTTGCTGCCCAAGCCTACAACTAATTGATCCACAAAATTGGGTGTGCGACCCAGCCCAAAAATGGTATAAGGGAGCTGCAAAGCAAAGTAAGAAGACTGCGGAAGCTGAACGCTCGATCCAGTTTGTTGGGCACCGTCTTGGGTGGTCGTCGAATATGTAATACGGGGCCCCGGCAAATTACTGCCATATGTACGCTTTTTGCGACCTAGTGGGGTGCGCAACGTTGGATTTTTTGCATTGTCTAGGCCAGTCAACACAATAACTTTGACAAAATTGGCATCATAGTCGAGTGTATTACGAAAGGCCAGGGGTCGGTAATGGCCTTCCTTGATCTTTTGGATTAATATGACATCAAGAACACCGTCTTGATAAAAGTCATAGAATGCTCCCGCTACAGTATTATTACCCAAGGGATTTAATGCATTCCAACGCACTTCAAAAGTACGTTTAAGTGGCTTGTTGCATGTTTTACAAACTACATTTTCAAGCAAAAATGTCTTCATAACATAGTTGGGTGCATTAATTGGCTGCAATGTGACTAAAAGATCTGGATAGCCATCCATATTAAAGTCGCCACTTCGCGCAGTTATAGCTTTTAAGTAAACATCTTCAGAAATAGGTGGTACAAAGCCCCAGCTTACGCCCTGTGGGTCTTTAAAATTGACATGTACATCAAGGAAGTCCTGGCCATTGTGTACTAATATAGTTGAATTTGTGCAGTCCTTATGTATGCAGAATGGTAATACTATGTTTTGAACACCTTTCAACTCGAAATCCATGAACACAGCTTGCCCTACAATGAAATCATGACCACCAATAGCTTCAAAACTAATAGAATGATCGTAGGTGAAACTCTTTTCAGTTACCGAATCGTTTGCCCCGAGCCAGATTTCATAAAACTTTTCCGTTTGCAAAAAAAGATCAGCAGCATAATCACCATTCAAGTCAAGATAAGCGTTTGCATTGGGCAGGGTCAATCGACCGCTCGTTCGCTTCGCTTGATGTACAACTTTTGGCGTATCTCGTACGTGGTTAAAAATCCAGAAAGTTCGTACGCCGTCTCTGTCTAAGCCGTATAAATCAATAATCATGTCGCGATTAAAGTCCATGGCTAACGGTTCACCCATAGTGGATGCGATAGCTTTTTCTGAGCAGGTAAGCTCTGAACCATTGCCCCAATTGATGTGCATCCAAAACACATTACTATTTTCATCACGTAATGTAACCATGACGTCCATTAAAGCATCCCCATCGAAATCGCCTGGCACAACACCAATTATTTTTTGCTGATAGGTACAATAGGGACCGATTTGAAGCAATGGTTCCGCATCATGACCTAGAAGGATCGTGTTTTAACTTTATAACATACTTACATATGTTGAAGTACATACCGTAAAGAATTTGGAGTCTGTGCATCGAATCTTGTATGACGAACACATCGGTAAGTTCATCAGAGTTAAAATCACCGAAAGCTGCAATAACTCCTTCACCAATGCCACCAAAAACTTTACTTGTGATATCAGTGGAGGTACACCCACCAATGCACAGAATCATAATGCAAATAAGCCACATATTTTATAGTTTATAATTTACTAAGAAACATACTCATAATTTATAAAATTGGGTGAATCAACAATGAATAGAGATGACGATTATAGAACGTATAGTAGTGCACGATAATTATCGATGTCACTATCGATAGTTTTAGTTTTTGGAACTATCGATGGAATTATGTCCACCATCGATACTTCGTTCGTAGAACTGCACGTTAAAACGAATACAAAAAATAAGTAAGTGCAATTTTAATTTATTAATAATTATTTAATTAACATAAATATAATTGTAAAAATTGCAAGCGTTTTTGTAAAACCTTATATTAATATACTATAAATATTTGTGTATTTATGGATATGTATGTAATCGAAACGATAATTTGACCGCGGTAATGAGAACAGTTGGGTTGCTGGAGAAAACGAACGAGATTTATTAAAGCGAAAGAAGTTCGTGTGTCGTGCTTCAATGCTATTTTACTTGTCCGAGTTATTTTTATACCCTGTACCCCTAGGGTAAAAAGGGTATATTAGGTTTGTGCAAAGTATGTAACATGCAGAAGGAAGCATCTCCGACCCCATAAAGTATATATATTCTGAATCAGCATGACGAGAGAAATCGATCTAGACATGTCCGTGTAATAAGCTTGTGCTTATTAATAAAACAAGCTGTTTATAATTTACAAGTTTATTAATTATAAGCTTAGTTGTTGTGCGTCTGGTTTATTTGGTGGTTGGCGATCAACTGAGGAACGAACTAGGTTCTTCTTGAACTTCGCCTAACCAGTGTTGTTTAACATTTGGCACTTAATGTTCAACACTTATTACATGCTTTTCTTTTTTTTTGTTTTTTTCTTTTTAATTAATTAAATTAACTTAACTAACTTAAGACCACTCTATGTCCCTATACCGCTCAGGTGGTCGTACAGATCTGCCACTTCTGGTTCGGTAGAAAGGACTTATAGGTTCTTCGTCGCTTGCCTCCGAACCAGATGCTGTTACAAATTGATCCTCTGATTCACTTGAGTCTGGACTGTCTACAATTATATCTTTTTCTTTTATTGTACTATTGTTGTCCCTATTAGACATGTTGTCCTTAGGCTCAACGATTTGTATTTCAGGCCCACTCTGATTATTATTATCGTTTCCAGTGTTATTTGACTTGATATTATTTTCAAAACTTATTTCATTTGTGTTTAAGTCCTTATGAGTGGTCTTAGCAATAAAACGCCGATTGCGTCTATAATGGCTGTTAAATGTATCCTAAATAATATATGAACGGTCATTTACAACTCCCACAATTTTTCCATAATGCCATTCATTACCATTTTTCTTAAAAATAACCACATCGTCAATATTTAATAAAGCTAATGATTTTGCACTGCGGTCATAATAGTATTTTTGTTTTTCTTTTTTAATTTTTAATTTGTCTTGAATGTCTGTCTCCTTTAAGTTATTCCTAATCAACAGCGAATCCGATACTGGGAGTTTGGTCTTGAGTAGTCTGCCAAAAAATAGTTCTGTTGGTGTTAGTTTCATGCTGGCTATTGGAGTTGTATCCTTAGCTTCATAACATCTTTTTCATATGTTTTTCGTAATCGCCACACCTTTTTCTGCTAGGCCATTACTTTGTGGATACCTGGGGCTTGAAAATTTTAATTGAACATTACTGTTGCTTGAAAAATCTCTGAACTCTGCTGAGCCAAAGGGACTATTATCACTTTTAATGATAGTTGGGTATCCAATTTTATCAAATATTGATGTTAATACTTTGATTATATGACTCGATGTTTTATTTTGTATTTTTTCCGTTATTAAAAAGTTTGAGTACGAATCAATTAATGCAACATAATCACGATTCGCGTATTCAAACAGATCCACCGCTACCAACTGAAACTGCAACATTGGTATATTTTCTTGCACTAACGGTTCCTTTTGATTATTTCTCCTGAATTGTTCACAAACACTGCACGATTCTATAAGTTCTTTTATTTGTTTGTTCATACCAGGCCAATAATAAAGCATTCTTGCACGTGAGAGTGTTTTCTCTATGCCTAGATGAGGTTCATGCAACCATTGGGAAACTTTGTGTTGCATTTTGGAGGGTATGACAACCCTGTGATTCCAAAACAATAACCCATTTTCAAAGTGTAATTCAGATTTGATAGCGTGAAACTGCTTGCTCAGGTCATCAAGATGATGGTATCCTGGCCACCCGTTAACCACAAATGAGCAGATACGTTTATATTTTTCATCTTCCTCTAATCCCTTTTTATAAAGATCATAATTATCCTTGGTTACACAAACTGACTTTATAACCGAGTGAATAACCCCTGACAACCCTTCAATCTCAGATATGTCTGGCAATTGAGCACGAGATAAGCAATCTGCCACAAGCATTTCTTTACCTGGCTTATAAACAATAGTCATTTTTGCATATTTCAATAAGAACATAAACATTCGTTGAAGTCGCATGGTAACATCGTCAATATCCTTCTTAACCAATGTCTCTAATGGTTTATGGTTACTCTCAACAGTGAATTCGCGCCCATATAAAAAGAAATGAAACCGCTGGCATGCAAACACATCTGCTAGTAGTTCTTTTTCCAGCTGGCACCATTTTTGCTCACTGCCACTGAGAGTTCGTGAAGCGAACGCCACAATGTGTCAATTTTGCACTATTACACAGCCCAGTCCGTCTTTGGATGCATCTGTTTGTACAATCACTGGGAGTTTCGGATCATATATAGCCAAAACTGGCTCTTCCGTTACAATGGCTAATAGGTTATTAAATTCTTTTTCATGTTCTGCAGTCCAATTGAAATCCGTATCGTTTTTTGTCAAGTTTCGAAAATTAGCCGATTGCCTTGAGAGATTCGGAATGTATCTGGCTAGATACTTCAGAAAGCCTAAAAATCTCAAAACATCTGATTTATTCTGAGGCTTCCTTATTTTGGGAATTGCATCCCTGTATTTAACCTGCGGCTTTATTTTTCCTTCCGATATAACGTTTCCCATGAACTTGATTTCAGTACAAGAATACTAATTTTGTCTGGATTAAATTTTACGTCATTTATACGTGCCCTCTCCATAATCAACCGGACAATCTGATCATGTTCTTCCTTACTTTCTGCACAGATGGCTAAATCGTCAAAATATACCATAACTCCTGGTAAATCCCCGAAAATATTGACCATTTTCCGTTGAAACATTTCCGGTGCACAATTGAGACCGAATGGTACACGTTTAAATCTGAATCTCCCAAAAGGAGTCATAAAGGTTGTCAAATCCGAGCTTGCTTTATCTAATTCCATGTGCCAAAACCCACTGCTTAAGTCAAATACCGAAAAAATCCGTTTACCCACTAATTTTGTTGTTAGGTCATCAATGGTGGGAATGAGGAAATGCTCTCGCTTAATACATAAATTTAGTGGCTTGGGATCAAGACAAATTCGAAGTTTTCCATTTGGTTTTTCAATTATTTGCAAGTTGTTCACCCAATCCACTTTTGATATAATATCGTTTTCCAGCATTGTGTCTAGTTCTGCTTTTAATTTGTCTGTTAATGAGTTCGGTATCCGTTTCTTATAATGAAGCACTGGCTTAGCATTTTCAGTTAATTGAATTCTTACAGTTCCCGGAAACTTTCCGATTCCGTTAAACACATTTCTATACGTATTTACAAAAGACTCCCTATTTTCATACTGATGTTTAATACTATTTCGCTATTCGCTTCATTAATCCTAACTCTTCACACGTTTCTAACCCTAATATCGGCTCACAGTTATCGGCCACAATTATAAACTTAATCATTTGCTCAATTTCTAGTTTTAAATCATAACATTGTAGCTGTACTGATCCATATACTTTTATCATGTTGCCATTATAATCCAAAGCCAACATTTCATTCAATTCATAATTAAGCTTAAGATTATTTTCCTTTTTAAGTTTTTCAAGTAGATTTCTTTGAATGCAGTTTACATCGGATCCGCTGTCTAGCTTAAATGTAACTATCTGTCCGCCTATCTGATAGTCTTTGGTCCTCCTCTTGTGTTTTACTCCGATTGAATTTATTCTAAAAGAATACCCGTTTGATTTTCATTGATTAATAAACCCGTTGCTTTTGTTACCTTGTGAATTATTGCTACTAGAGCCTGCCATACCTCCTTCGTTCTTGTTTTCCTTCTGGCTTGCTGTCTTCACGCCCATGGTTTGAGATTTCCGCTTTCGGCACATCCTTTGGAAATGACCCTTTTTTGCACAACGATGACACGTTATGTCCTTTGCTTTGCATTCGTCTTTGTGACCAAATTTCCATGGTCCCCCGCAGTTGAAGCAAACTCTATTAATCGCATTAATTACAGGTCCGTCGTCTTTGATGATATTAACCGACTGGTTTCCTTCCAGTATTCCTTTATGGATAGAGGCTGCTTCATGTGCTTTGCAAGTATCAATGACTTTTGACAAATGTCATCACGCCCGTCCAGAAGTTTCAGTTGTAGTTTTTTGTCATGCACTCCGATGATAATACGGTCACGCAGCATTCGGTTTTGGTATGATTTGCCACACTCACATACGAATTCACAATGATGTAGCTGTTCCCGCAAGTTTGTTTCAAATTCACTAAAAGGTTGACGCTCTTTTTGTGTAATCATGTTGAATTTGTAAGACTCCATTGCATTATTTCGTTGTGGTAGGCAAAATTCATCAAACTTTTTAAGCACCTCCTCCATTGTGCGTTGCTGAACACTGCTTTCCGTTGTTACTGTTCCAAGCATAGAATTCTGTGTACCATTTGTGTACCTTTTCTTCCCACTAGCCACAAGAAATTTGCAAGTTTTCTCTTTTCCGGTTCCGTTGATTTGCCAGTCGCCATCAAGTACATTAAGAACTCCTGTTTCCATGTTGGCCATTCCGTTGCTAAATTGCTACAATCCAGCTCTTTTATTGCCCGCTCACTTGTCCCCATTGTTTACAATTTGTTTTGATTTTCCGATTATTTTAATTCCGATTTTTCTTATTTCGCTCCGATGCTTCCTGATGATTTCGATGCTTATCGCTTTTTTCGATTATTATTGGATTCCACTACTACAGCTGTTTTTCCAATTCTGTTGAATTTTACCGCGTGCTCTATGATTCAGCTTTTGCTTCCAGTTCCGCTGAAGTTCGCTCCTTGCAGTCTTTCCTTTATGAAATTTTAAATTTTAATATCGTTGCTTTGATATACTTTCATGCGTCTCAGCGTTCATCCCACTTCTGACACCATGTAATAAGCTTGTGCTTATTAATAAAACAAGCTGTTTATAATTTACAAGTTTATTAATTATAAGCTTAGTTGTTGTGCGTCTGGTTTATTTGGTGGTTGACGATCAACTGAGGAACGAACTAGGTTCTTCTTGAACTTCGCCTAACCAGTGTTGTTTAACATTTGGCACTTAATGTTCAACACTTATTACAGTCCGTCCGTCTGTCCGTCCGTCTGTCCGTCCGTCTGTCCGTCTGGATGAACGCAAGGATCTCAGAAACTATAAAAGCTAGAATAACCAAAGTTGGCATCCAGATTCTCCTAGGTCCGAGAAAAGACGAGTTTATTTTATTTTTTTTAATTTTCCTTCTCTCCTCCCGCTACAGAATTTCGTCAATAGCGTCCACATTTCAAATGCTACCTAACCAAACTTTGCACACATAATTAATATATAATTGTCTACTGATGTTCAAAATTTTATTCAATTCGATCAATTCTAAGAAAAGTTATTAGCAAAACATATTCTCGGCAGTACAACCCCAACCCCAAACTGCAGCAACAAGTTCGCTCTTCTTCTTCCTCTTTTTGCTGCTGCTATGGGCGCATATAACTCAGTATTACACTGTCGGGCTTGCTCGACTGTAGCGTTCTCTCTTGTCAAATTATGCTTAGGCCTAGAACAATGCGAGCTTCTCTTACATTCTAACAGCGCGCCGTAACGTTACAACCTTAACCTAAACTTATTCATATTTCCTTCACTACACTGCTAAAAATTCATTGATTACAAATTAAGTTTAAAATAAGTTTAACTACAATCTAACATTTCAATAATAATCAAACTTATAACTAACTCCTCAGTCACAAATCTGCATTCATTGAGTCCAGACGTGCCTAAACTTTACGCGCTTGACCGCATCAGTCTTCGTTCGTTTCGAAAAGCTCTAAACAAAACTAGCTACCAAAAACAATTCTATACGTGAAACAGTTACAGTGCAAGAAATTCTATTAGGCTAGCAACAACAATTACAGCAGCGTCAGCTGCAAGCTCGCTTCCCACATCTATTTATAGCATTCAAACTTGATAAAAAAAATTATGCTATCCAGGCAAACAGCTGACCCAAAGTTTCTAGTTATGAAAAGAACTGACGACAATAATACACTTGCTGATGTTTCGCCTTTTCTAATAAAAAAAAGTTATTGACAACGTGTGCGGAAGTGAAATTAGTGAATGAGTAAATGAGTTTCTTGTAATGAAATCATTTTTGGTTGAAATTTTTTGATCAATATTTGTAAGTGTTCATAATTGTTACAGTAGCCATTACAATTCCATTGTAGTACTTTTAGCATATCTTTGTATTGGGAATGTATGAAAAAATTAAATTACTTATAAATAGTATAAACAGTTAACTTCTAAGGAGACATCAAGATGTCGTCATCAGAGGGGGGGTATGAGGGGCTGGAGTATAAAGCGTTAGAAGTGGTAGGGGTTTTGGCTGTTTTTTAGATTGTTAGAATTAAGGGATGGCTTAAAAGATTTTTTATTGATGATATTGCTAGTCGCTGAGGAAGCTGTAGCTATTTTGACTTTAGTGGCTGATAATATTTTTGACTCCAGCGAGGGTGTTGATGAAGGCGTTGATGAAGGCGTTGATGAGGATGTAGGGTGCGATGGGAGCATTGGTGTCGTAGTGAAGGCGATGTCGGTTGGTGCAATGACGGTGTCGGCGTATGATACTGGCTGGCGAGAGTTGTGTGGAGTGGTAATGAGTGTAGTGTGTCTTGAAAGTGATGTGGATGGGTTGGTGACGTTGTAACGCTCATTGTATATTTTATGGGCGTTTTTCATGTCTGTTTTTTCCAATGTAAAAAACTGCGCAATTACAAGAAACTCATTTACACTGCAATTCAAACATTCCTAAGCCCTTAAACTATAGCCTTTATTTAAAAAATTCATCCCAAAGGTCATCAGGAGGAGTTGCGCTGCTTATTCACAACTCCATGTGCATACTGAACTATCTATTCCAAAAGATTTCGATACTGTCGGAGTTCAAATTTTTTCCAAATTAAAATTCAACATTATGTGCTCCTATATCCCACCGAACAAATCATTTTCTCTTGTCCATCTTCTTAACGTTTTCCATAACCTATATATTCCCTCTTTGATTACCGGAGACTTTAACAGTTGGCATTCTTTCTGGGGATCACCATCTAGTAATAAAAAATTTTAAATATGATGTTTTAAATTTCTTAGTGGTTACCCCTTAATATTACTTAATAATGGTTCCCCTACACATTTTAGCACACACAACACATTCACTCACATAGACCTTAAATTTCCCACCCCATCTCTTGCACTTCACTCCTCATGGAATATCGAATCAGATACTTTCGGTAGCGATCACTTTCCCATCTTAATCACACTTTTCAATAACAACGATCCCCCAATAATAACACCAAAATTTATCACCGACAAAGCCAACTGCGAGAAATTTGAAGAAACGTCCTACAATTTTCACATAGTCCGTTCTACAAGCAACAACATTAACAAAGAGTCCGCCAACATAAATAAAATAATCAGACAAAGCGCCAACGTTTCCATTCCTCAATCAGTTTTCAACCCCAATAAAAAACGTAAAGTCCCCTGGTGGAATAATCATCTAGATAACCTTAAAAAAAACAAACAGACTCACTGGACCAACCTAAAACGCAACATAAATTCTCAAGACATACTTAATTATAGAAAAGCTAACGCATTGCTAAAGCGTGAGATCAAAATAGCTAAACGTAAGTCCATCAACTCCTTTACAAGTCAAATTAACCCAACCACATCCACAACTAAAATATGCCATAACATCCGAATCTTCTGCGGACTTAAGCCGTGTCATAAAATCCATTGCTTGACTGATGAGAATTCCCAATTCTCAATAACTGATGATCGCTTGATAGCCGATAGGCACTTCAACTCCAATACCTTCATTCCCCAAAATTACAAATTAAGCAAAATAGTCCCATTAAACAAACCAAATTCCGACAAAACCAGCCTCAATTCCTACCGCCCCATCTTAAATTTTTGTTGCGCTAATACTCTCGACAAAATCATAGCCAATCGACTATGGTGGTTTGTTTCTGAAAACAAATCAATAGATAGTCGACAGACAGGATTTAGTAAAGGGAAATCAATATCAGATAGTCTACTAGCCTTAGACTACTTGATATCATCATCTCTTTCAACTAAAAACCACATCTCCATCATATCACTGAATTTCACAAAAGCATTGGATAAAGTTGGACTACATTCGGTAATCGATGAACTTCAGTCTTGGAATATTGGCCCCAAAATATTAAATTATATCATGAGCTTCATGTCTTCTAGGAAAATAGTGGCTTATGCCAATAACCAGTTTTCCCCAACTCAACCTCTGCACAATGGCATTCCTCAAGGATCACCCCTTTCCGTCATACTCTTCCTAATCGCCTACAACAAACTTAATAGAAAAATAAGTAGATACAAGGAATTTAACTTTCTCGCATATGCAGATGATTACCATGTTTTTAAAAAACTTAACAAAAACTCATTAATCCATTATTAAATGTCTCTCAAACAATACAACTGCAACCATCTCTCCACAATCACAGCGACAAAACTTTTAAAAATGTAGACTCTTTGAAACCAAAATAATGCCGTTTGAAATTAGAAGAGAATTAAACACAGCCAAACTAATTAAAACAATATTGCTCTCCAAAGACTCTCCTGTTCAACATTTAATAAAAATAATAAAGAACAAGTAGAGAAGCTAAAGTCGGGTATCCCGACTTTGAAATACTCTGTACATATGTGTAGAATAATTATGCGTGTATGTGTGTATTTGTGTGTGTCTGTGTATGTCTCGTGTGCCTGACCAAAGCAGTAACAACAACAACAGCTGCGGGCACTACTTGGTCTTATGTATATATGTATATGGCTATAACTTCCTGTTAAGTCGGCATATCATGATGAAACTGCATTTATACTTACAATAGCTAAATGGAGGTATTTGCCAAGTTTGAGTTCGAAATTCGAAGAATTACGGGAGTTACGATTTGCGGGGGAGAGGGGGAAATTCCAAAATACACATTTTCTGCGTATTCACATAAGGCATCTGGGACTAAAATTTGGTGTCCCTTATAGTCTCCGAGATATAGGCGATAATACAAATGGAAAATCGGTAAAACGCCCATAGGGGGAAAGTGGGGGGGAAAATCAAAAAAATAAAACAAACTTGCACAGCGTACACACATAAGGCATCTTTGTGCAAAATTTTGTCTCTAGCTCTTATAGTCTCTGAGATCCGTCGATATTTGGAGCCGAACTAATAGCCATTATTCAAGCTATACGAACTGCAATTTCTTACTCCAACTCGGTCGCTATATGCACTGATTCCTTTTCTGCTTTAGAAGTAATTAAAAACCCTTGAAATCTATCATACTACCCCCTACAAGCCAGACAGTTTCTTTCTTCACACTTCCCCCGTATAATATTAATTTGGGACCCGGCCATTGCAACATTAAAGGCAATGAAAAAGCCGATGCTGCAGCTAAATCGGCAATTAAATACTCTTTAATTTTTCAAAATAATTTCCACATTCCTGACATCATTAGACTCACAAAATCCCATTTTCT